TCGATACCTCCAGAAGGAAAATTCAATCCGCCTACCTTCTGACCACAATAACCTTTCCTTCCAGCTGGCCTGTTCAGCTAGCTACTCCCATGACAGCTAAACTTTCTCCAAACCTAGGGAACCTAGCTTTGCAGGAGAGTCACACGACTGAGCAGATTGCTTCCACCATCATCGCCGATTTCAAATAGATTCTCGGGCTGCCTGGAAATCTCATTAAATTTTTCTAGTCACATTTTCTGCAATGACCTTGTCAAGCTTTCTCCAGTTCCCCAAATCTATGATAGTCTATGATAGTCCCTACTATCACACTCCCAGCAGAAGGCTCTACTTCTCTTCTTACCATATAAAAGACAATAGAGGCTTTAAATGAGAACTTCCTTATCTCACAGCTATCAAAAATAAGAAATTCCTTGTCTACTCTAAACCCACCTTTCTTCCTCTGGTAAAATACAGAAAATCTTATTTCTCTTTATTTAAGGACCCAAGAATATACAATGAGGAAAAGGTAGTTTCTTCAGGAAATGGTGGTGGGGAAACTAGACAGCCCCATACCATACACAAAAATAAACTCAAAATAGATTAAAGACATAAAGGTGAAGCCTGAAACCATAAAATTCCTAGAAGACATATGGAGTAAACTCTTGGATATTGGCCATAGCAATACTTTTCTGGATCTGTTTCCTCAGGCAAGGGAAACAAAAGCAAAAATAAACTATTGGAACTATACCAAACTAAAAGCTTTTGCACAGTGAAGGAAACCATCAACAAAACCAAAAGGCACGCTACTGAATGGAAGAATATATTTACAAATGATATATATGATAAAGGATTAATATCCAAAATATATAAGAACTCATACAACTCAACACCAACAAAACAAATAATGCAGTTAAAAAATTGGCAGAGGACCTGAATTACAGATGGCCAACAGACACATGAAAAGATGTTCAACATCACTAATCATCAGGAAAATGCAAATCAAAACTACAATGACATATCCCCTCACACCTGTCAGAATGGCTAGCATCAAAAAGAGGAGGTATAACAAGTTTGGTGAGGATGTGGAGAAAAGGAACCCTTGTGAACTGTTGGTGGGAAGGTAAACTGGTGCAACCACTCTGGAAAACAGTATGATGGTTCATCAAAAAATTAAAAAAAGAAATACCATATGATCTAGTAATTCTACTTCTGGGTATTTACCAGTTGAAAAAGTAAACACTAATTTGAAAAGATATATGCACCCCTATGTTTATTGCAGCATGATTTACAATAACCAAGATATGGAAACAACCTAAGTGTCCATCAATAGATAAATGAATAAAGAAGATACAGTGTATATATATAATAGAATGAAGTCTTGCCATTTGTAACAACACAGATGGACATAGAAGGTATTATGCTAAGTAAAATAAGTCCAATAGAGAAAGACAATTATCATATGATTTCCCTTATATGTGAAATCTAAAAAACAAAACAAATGAACAAAAAACAGAAACAGACTCACAAATTCAGAGAACAAACTGGTGGTTGCCAGAGATGAGGAGGTTAGGGGGACAGGCAAAATCAGTGAGGGGAATTAAGAGGTACAAACTTTCAGTTATAAATTAAATAAGTCGCAGGGATGAAAAGTACAGCATGGAGAATATAGTCAATAATATAGCAATAATTTCATATGGTAATGAAGGCAACTACACTTACCATGGTGAGCATTCATAATGTATATAATTGTCAAATCACTATGTTGTACACTTGAAACTAATATAATATTATAAACTATATTTCAATTACAAAGAAAAAAAGAACTCGAAAACTTTTCACCATCCATCATTTCTACTCTCTCTTTAATATTTAATCCTTCAATCTCATCTGGTTTCTTCCTACTTGAAAACCATTTAAAAAAATAAAATAAAATCTTCCTCGATTTCACATGCCTGACTCTCTACCTCCCTATCCTTCTCCTCTTTATAGGCAAACTACTCAGAAGGGTTATTTTGCTCACCTATTCACTCCTTAGCCCATCTGGCCTCCAGCCCCAACATGCTATTAAAAATAGGTCTCTGTGGGGTGCCTGGGTGGCTCAATTAGTTGAGGGCCTGACTCTTGATTTCAGCTCAGGTCATGATCTCACAGTTTGTGAGATCAGGGCCTGCCTGGGGCTCTGCAGTGGCAGTATGGAGTCTGCTTGGGATTCTCTCCCTCTCTCTCTCTCTCTGCCCCTCCCCAGCTCTCTCTCTCTCTCTCAAAATAAATAAACATTTAAAATAATATATCTCTGTGATCATTAATATGGCTCAAGTTAATGGGTACGTCTTGATCTTCATCTTATATTACTCTTAACAGCCCCAGACATGGCTGCACACTCCCACTGTTGTGAATTCCTCAACACCACCTTCTCCTGGTTTGCCTCCCACCCCATCAGAGCTCTCCCTCTGTCTCCTTTTCAGGCTCAACTTCCTCTACTTTGATGATGACATTCCTTAAAGCTTAGCATAAGGTCTTTTTCTCATCTTACTTCTAAGCCATCTATCTCATCAATGGCCACCTGTGGGTAGATTAGCCAACCTGTGTATCTCTAACTGTAAACCACACTCTGAGCATCAGCCCCTTACACATCTGTCTACATGAGGTCTCCACTCACACGTCTCAAAAGTTTATCATACTCAACTTGTTCAAAATAAAACTCACTATCTTCCCCTCCCCCAGTCTCCCCCTGCACCCACCAGAGTTCCTCATCTCATTGAACGGCAATGACATCCATCATTATCCAAGTCTGCATCTTAGTGGTCATCCTTGGCTCCTCCCTCTTCCTCACTCTGTTCAAATCCAGTCATCACTGCCTCCTATCGACTACCTTATAAATATCTCTCAGGTCCATCCATTTCTTTCCATTTCCACTATCACCAATCTAGTCCAAACCACTGTAAATCTCTCAGCCAGCCTCGCTCAGAAATCTTCCTGCACCCATTCTTCTCTTCATCTGGTCAATTCCCCAAACGATAGCCAAAGTGATTTTCCTAAAACATAAATCCTGCCAGCTTAAAGTATTCTTAACACAATCTCATTGCTTTTAAGATGAGAAAACAACCTTCAACATGGTCCACATGGTCCTACACGGTCCCTCCCTACTGACCTTTCTTCGTCTAGCCCTGCCTCACACCAGAGCTCTCAGGACTCCAGTCACACTGGCTTACACTCAATTCCTAATCCCTTCTGCCACTCTCCCACTCCTGTGGCAGCCCATCAGCAAACATTGGTGATTCTGCTCTGAAATCATATCTTGAATCCAAACTCTTCCCATCATCCCCATCTTCAGGATACTAACCAAAACCACCATCATCTTTCACCTGGACTACTGCCACAGCCCACTGAATGATCTCTCACTGCCCTTTGTCTTGCTCCATTCGATCCATTTCCAATCACCAACCAGCATGATGACGTACAGCAAAAGTCCAGTCATGTACTTACTTCCTAAAATCTTTCCAATGGCTCCCCACTGCAATCAGAATAAAACTCAAAGTCCTCAAGGCTGACCCCAAGCCACTGCCTAATGTGGTCCTTGCTTACCTCTCTGTCCCCATCCGTTACCACTGCCCTACTTTTTTTGCTGTATGCTAGACACACGGGCCCTCTTTCTAACTTTCTATGTTCCCATCTCAAGACCTTTCCTTGCTCTTTCTTCTGTTGGAATGTTTTTCCAAGCCTCTGAATGGCTGCTCCTTTTCATGACTTTGCAAAGAGGTATTGCCTGCCCTCTTCCTCTCCTGTGAAAGTCACTCCATTGCTTCACCTGACTTTCCATATAGTACTATGTTTAGAACCTTCCAATGGCTGCTTCCTATCTCAGAGTAAAGTCCCGACCATAGCCAGAAAGACCACACATTATCTGGCCACAATTTCCTCTTTGATCTCATACACCACCTGTTTCCCTGTCACTGCGCTCCATCCATACTAGCTTCCTTGCTGTTTTCCCAACATCTCAAGTGCCTTCCTAACCCAGAGCCTTTCAACATTCTCATCCCCAAATCGACATGAATGAATCTCTCATGTCATTTAGGTCTGGCTCAACTATCACTTATCAAAAAAGCTCTTCCTTGAGGATCCTAATTAATATAAGGCTCCATGCCTACTACCATCACTCTCACCTTTTAACTCCCTTCAAAACACTTACGTTACTTAATATGGTAAATATTAACTTGCTTTCTCAGCAAGAATTTTCTTCACAACTATTTTTATTGTTCTTAGATGAGTTAATAGTTTTTCCTTAAATAAATGGCTGAACTATCTTAATTTACCTAACTGATGTGTGTGTCTAATATATCTGTATGTCTTTAGGTCTTCTCCACCACCTTCCTTCCCCACACGGCGGGGAGGCCCTTTAAGACACGGCCCTATAGGGAAGACGCGGTAAATTCAATCCCACTTACAAACTGTTTCTAACTTCTGTATTTTCGGATCTCCCCACTTTCTCCCAGGAGGCTCCACTCCCAAAGAATCTCGGACTACGTCCAGTCAGTCCTTTGCTATTACAAATCCTGCGGCCAAGAATGGGCGTGGGTATATGCATTGCTTCTTTTCATCACTGTAATACATTCTTAGAAGTGGGATTTCTGGATCAAAGGGTAACTGCCTACGCAAGTTAAATAGCTGTTGCCGAATTCGCCGCCACCGGGTTCGTACCGTTTTGGAGTTCCACCGGCAACGTGTCAGAGCGCCTGTTTCTTCACAGTTTCGCCCGCGCCAACTCAGTGTCCTTAAGCTTTGGGGGGAGGGGAGGGTTGCCATCCGAGAGTTGAGACACCGGCTGCGCGGAGCGCGCCCTTCCACATCCGACCTCCAACCCCGCAACCCCACCCAGGACTCCCACTGGGACCAGCGTCCTTGCGGACCCGTGCGGGGGAGGGGAGGGCAGGCGCGCACGCGGGGGGCGGGGAGGGGCGGGCAGGCGCGCACGCGCGGGGCCCCCTGCGCTCCGCACACACGCGCCGCGTCCCCAGCGGGTGGGCTGCGCGCGGCGGGCAGATCCGGCCTTGCTCAACAGGCTCGAAAGAGGAAGCGCACAAAGGGCTGAAGTAAACACTTAGGAAGACCGTTGCAAAATAGATGAGGTTCTCGGGTTTTTTGGAGCCATCATCTGGCCCCAGATCCCTTAGTCACTAATATAGCGAGGGACCGAGAAGGCTCAATTCGCTGGGGAACGCTCCGGAGGGAAGGGGACGCGCGTAGGGGCGGGATGAGGGAGGAAGGCCCAACTTTTCCCAGAATTAAAAAAAACAACTTTCGAGGGTGTGGTGTAGAAGCGAGGCACAGACCCGATTAGTTGGAAAAAGCAGTCCCCGAGTTTCAAGAGTCTGCATCCACCCGTCCTTCTCCGTGCGTGTCTCGAGCCGAGCGCCCTCGTGGCATCTCGATGCAAAGCGGCGCGGCGGGCGCCTCACGTCTGCGCGCTGCGTGGGAAGGGCAGGGCTGACACCACTTCCTCCCCGAGGCGGCGGACCTGAGCCCGGGTGGAGTCCAGTGTGCCGCGTCGCCTGCCCCGCCGCCGCCCCGCCGCCGGCCCGCGCCCCGCCCGCGCGGAGTCCCAGCCGAGCTCCGCCGAGTCCCCACGCAGCCGTCGAGGTAAGCGGCGCCGGCCCCGTCCCGGCGCCCTGAGAGCTGCAGCCGGGACCCTCAGGGCTGCCGCGGGACCCTGTGTGTCCAGCGGGTCTGCTCCCGGGCCCGACCCAGCTCCCCGCCTTGGCCGGGAGAACGCGCTCCCCCCGCTTGGCCCTCGAGGGGAGCGCGTCCCCCCGGGTCTCCTCCGCCGACTTGAGTGCTTGACCCGGCCACGCGGGGGGTTGGGGCGCGGGCTCGTCTTCCCCGCGTTCGCTTTCATCACAATTTGACTGATTTCCTGCCCAGAAAGTTGCTTCAGAGATAGTCGGGGAACCCGTATGAACCCTCACCTGTTCAGCTGTCCAGAGCCCCAACTTGACCCCTCTGGAGGAATTCCTGGGGGCATTTTAGGGCACCTTAGGTTAAATGCAAGTCGTGCAAGAATGAGAGTGACGATCGAAGTCTGATGTATTTTAGTGTTATCGTACTTTAAAACTTTTGGACAATTCTTTCGTCGTTTTAAAAACATCTTTACCAGTGATTGTCCTTTTCATTTTACAATAAGGCAGAGGAAAGATTTGGACAGCAGGTGTAAGTTTCATAATTTGGTTTGGGGGGAATGCCCAGAGTGACGTTTTATAGCATGAAGGAAACTAACTGGGATGCCCTTACATCCAGGGGACCTCAGCCCAGGAGTCCCCCAGGAGACTTTGTCCCTTGCACCTCTTACTGTCTTTTCGGGAAGGTATTTCTTTTTCATACCATTGTGGAAAGGTAAATGTGTAGTTTCCTAGTGCCACTCAGAGTAAAGCTGTTGAAGAAGAACTTTAAATGTGGACATTAGAAAAAAAAAGCAGTATCAGAGGAAAGTAACATAGAGAAAAGGTGCATGACTTGATTACTCCCAAGGATATTATTTCTGGTGGCAAAATGTGGTTTAAATAAAGGCAAGGGTACTTACTACCTACTACTAATTTTAAATTCTGGGCCTCTGAACAGAAATTTCAGAAAGAGAGCTTTTGTCCCTTGGAACGAACCTCCAATGCCAATTTTCCCTCAGGCCTCACTGCAGTAGTCTTACAGTTAAGATTGGCTAGCAAAATTAGCAAAAAAACTACTGAGAAATCTTCTATAATGTCTTCCGGGTGGTATTTCCTGTCTGTTCAACGTGTTGTGAAAGGTCTAAGAAATTTAATGTCATCTTCAGGCTGTTAACACATAATCGTTTCACACCGATACTAATGCTTGTGGGGTTTTTCTGGGTATTTGGGAGATTTGGATTCAAGCTCCAAATCCACCTTTAACTAGACAAGGTTGGCCTTGATTAAGTTGCCTTAACCTCCCTGGACCTGAGAGGGAAGCGAATTTGTTTGACTAGAGTATGTCTGTCATTATAATAGCAATTGGGGAACAGCTATAAATTCTTTGAATTTGTCCTGCCTAGAATACTAGCAAAGTTAGAATTGCTGATCACACAGAAAAGAATGGAGAAAATCATACTGATAACATATTTTGTTAAAGTCTGAAATATCAACAGTTTTGAGACCCTCTGTTTCTATAGAAGGTCCTCCAAAAATAGTCCATTTTTGTTCTATATGTAAAATGGCAGGTTTCCATTCTGTTGAAAAAACTGAGGTAGAGAATTGATGTGCTCAAGCTTGGACAGGTCAGTATTAGATTCCAAAATTCTTCAATTATTATTACTCAAGAGATATAACTTTGTGATATGGATTACTTAATGATTTAGTTACTTTAAATCTTAAACACAGTACTTACAAGGTTATATATATAGTGTCCATTAATTTTTTCTTATTTTTATATCCTAGGAATGTATAACAATCATCCACTTTTTTTTACCTTTATTCGCTCATAGTAAAAAAGTTTTAGATATTTTCATATTATTATTAGAATGAGCTATTTATAAAATTTATTGCCATAAGTGTCTGTTTGATATGCCACTCTGAATTTCTTTAAACCAGCCTACTTTCAAAAGCATTATTATTTTCGTTTACTTCTAATCCTCTTCCATCTTATTTTAATTATTTTTATGCCCAAAACCTTTCAGTGAGTCCATAAATCTTATATAAATTAAGTTGGCATTTCAGAGTTTATCACACCAAAATATTTTCAATGCTAAAGACCTCATAGTTTATTTTATAGGCAATAGAATGATCTTAGTAATTCTCACCTGGAAATAGAACAATTCTTATTAACATAGTTAATTTTTTAGGATGTAAATGTGTCTAAGTATTTTTTTAAACTTTATTTTATTTTGGGGGGAGAACACAAGTGGGGAAGAAGCAGAGAGAAGGGGACTGAAGCAGGCTGTGTGCTGACAAGCTGACAGCAGCTAGCCCCGTATGGAATTCAAACTCCCCAACCATGAGATTATGACCTGAGCTGAAGTCAGACACTCAACCAACTGAGCCACCCAGGCACCCTTAAATATGCCCATATTTTATGTCAGTTCTGTCATCCTCTGTGGCAAGTAGCTTAAAGTTTAAGCAATTATTACAAATTGAAGTACATCATAAATGCCAGGATTTGAGGTGTTAGATTGAGGGTATAGCTCACACTGGTTGTATAGTCGTGTTTTTCTGTATTACAGTTATGAGAAACATGATTTGTAGGGGAAACTGCTATTTGGAAAAGTTAACAGATTTCTCTTGAGAAGAGAGAACAGCAGCATTAAGGAATGGCATTGAATAAGCCATAATCAATTTAAGGGGCTAAGGTTGTACATGCACAGTAACAAGGGAGGGCCTGTGGACAGCTTCTAGGGACTAGAGAATGTGACCTGCCACCACAGCATCCCCATTGTCTAGCCAAATTCCTGGCACCATAGTTAGGACTCAAAAAGCATTTGCTAAATGTGCAGATATAGCAGTTCCACTTGTGGGTTATGCCATCAGAATGTCACAAGCCCCTGACCCAGGGAGCTCTGTTGGTACCAACCCTGAGGCATGAGCAGGCAGAGATACAGCACCATTCCAAGGCACCGCACCTTCTCAGCACATGCTCTGAAGCTGGAATTCGTGATGCAGGTTCCAAACATTTTCTGAAGATTGGTTAAGAAGCTTACGCAGAGGGTAAGAAGCAGAGCTGACCTTTGAACTGAGCTAGTCTCATACGGCACCCCCTAGGAGCTGTACCAGGGACAGGGCTCAAAAGGTGAAAAAACATGGGCCCTTTGCTCAGTGCTCTTCTAGCCTAGAAAGGGGGGACATGAATGGGTACAGTTCTACACATGACCAGAGTCAGGTGCTGTGGAAGCACATATGAGATCCCTGTACCACAGTGGGTACAGGGAGGATGAAATTAAGATAACCAAGGAACTTGCCTTGCAACAGTGGGAAGACAGGATATTATAATCAGTTGTGAAGTTATTATATTTATATATGTTTTTTGAAAAATTAATTCTGCTTTGGCAGCCATCACGTGTTTTCATTTTTATCTTTATGCTCATCCCTCTTGATAGCTCACCAGGTTGATTAAATCAATGAAGCAGTGAGTATGTATTTTTTTTAAATTTCTCCTGGAGGTCTTTCTGATTTGGTTTCACATCACAGACTCATTAGTAAGGTGGTTGTGGGCAGGGAGAGGGTTTAAATGCTAAGTCACACGGCAATTATGTTTCCACAAACCGGCTAGAAGATTTATGTCTAGGGAGCTATATCCTATCAAACTGGAAGAAAAATAAAGAGCGGTAGTAGAACAAGTAAGCTAGACTAGGTTTATTTTGTCCTTTTTTATTATGAAATGTTTCATGCATACAAAAGATGGTGTATAATGCATATGTTAATTATAACAAATAATAAAGCCAACATCTGGATACCTATCATCCAGTTGAAGAAGTAAAATATTACCAGTCCATCTTCTGACGTCCTCTAAATAGCATTCCCCTTTTTTCTCAGTAGAATATTCTGTATATCAGTATTCTGAATGTGCTGATTTTTTTTTAAAAAGCATTTGGAAAGCATGTACATGCATTTGCAAAGATGTCAAACTGGGAATTAGAGGACACTGGCCCTTGGGAGACTGGGATTAGAATCTCCGACTGTAAGCACAGTTATAAATAGAGTCTTCTGTTAAGTGAAGACATCTTATTTTAAATAGCGTAATGGGGCGCTTGGGTGGCTCTGTGGGTGAAGTGTCTGACTTTTGGTTTTAGCTCAGGTTATGATCTCACGGTTCCTAAGTCTGAGCCCCGCATTAGACTCTTTGCTGACAGTGTGAAGCCTGCTTGGGATTCTCTGTATCCCTCTCTCTCTTCCCCTCTCCTGCTCATGATCTCTGTCTCCCTCAAAATAAATGAACATTAAAAAAAATTAAAAATAAAAAGCAAAGCAGGTTATAAATGATTAAGAGTAAGTACCACAGAAATAGTTAGGGGTATCTTAGTTATTACTGAAATGACCAAGATTCATCAGGGGATAAGTTTTAAGGGTAATAAATATATTAGGAAGTGTTCACTTTTTCATATTACTTAGATTTCTACTGAAAATACAATTCAGTCATTTAAAAAACATTTGCCAAGCGCTATTCTAGATGTTTGAATGTGTTTCTGAGTAGGTGAGGCAAAGATCTCTCCATTGCGGAGTTTGGATTCTAACGGGGCGATACAGACAATAATCAGTAAATATAATAAATAAGTAAGTAATATAGGTTTAATAAGTGAAAAGTGCCATAAAAAAGTCAAAGTTGAGCAAAGTAAAGTTGTAGTATTTAATAAGGTGGTCAGGCTTGGTCTCACTGTGTAGATACAATTTGAGCAAAGTTTTGAAGGAGTTAGCTAACAGGCTATCTGAGGGCACTGTGTTCCCAGCAGAGGGAACAGCCAGTGCCAAGGCTGTAAGACAGGGTTCTTCCTAGTATATTCAAGAAACAGGGAAGCTCACATGGCTAGTAGGTGGGTGAGCAGGACGAGAGTAACAGGAGATGTGGCTGGAGAGGAACATGAAGAGGTGACAGATCATGTAAGGTCTTGTCGGCCATTGTAAGAAGTTTGGCTTTTACTGTGAGTG